AACCTTGATAGTGGCATCCATGTCAGTGTCTATTCTGGGCCTATTAAGGAAATTCTATCCAGAATTTGCCTTTCTAGTCCCTTTCTAGGTCCAACGTTAGCAGACCTTGATAGTGGCATCCATGTCAGTGCCTATTCTGGGCTTATTAAGAAAATTCTATCCAGAATTTGCCTTTCTAGTCCCTTTCTAGGCCCAACGTTAGCAGACCTTGATAGTGGCATCCATGCCAGTGCCTATTCTAGACCTATTAAGGAAATTCTATCCAGAATTTGCCTTTCTAGTCCCTTTCTAGGCCCAACGTTTGCAGACCTTGATAATGGCATCCATGTCAGTGCTTATTCTGGGCCTATTTAGGTTATTCTATCCAGAATTTGCCTTTCTAGTCCTTTTCTAGGCCCGACAATGGTATGCCTATTTTATGACATGCCTATCTAGCCCCAATATTGGCGATCCTATTTTAGGGCATGCCTGTTTAGGCCCTTTACAGACTTGGGGCACGCCTCGACAAAATTCCACCCGGGTTGCTACATTGCATGCGCCAATAACCGTTGCGCTACTACAAAGTTGTAACACGACAAAATTAATAAAATTAAAAAACCGTCACATCTTTTTCTTCTTTAAAAATCTCTTTACATAAAAAGAAATTTCTAAAAATCATCATTTTTTGACCACTCAAACTGAGTTTTCTCCTTAATATCTAATAAATATCTTTAATTAACAACAAGGATCTTTATTAACATAAAAAAAGCTGAAATTTGTTTAAAAGAATTGTTTACGTTGATAAACGAATATACGAAAAGCAATAGCTAATTAAACAAATGTTATGTAGAAATATATGTCTCATAATCATTTCTCGTGCATTCATAGAAACTGTGAAACGTACATAAAACTTCGCTTTGAGGCATCCATTTTATAACCATTACATTTTCCGGTATCTCAAATGGGACTTCAATATCTAACTTCCATAGCATTTGTTGCTTCAGTTTCGACAGAGCCAGTATAACAGTTTTAACTGTGTCTAAATTGAGATGTTTCCATTTCACATTTGTTCCTAACGATATTACGATAGCTCCGTTTTTTGCTCCGTCAAGAAATATACGCACATCCTGCAAAATAACGCTAAATTAAATATTTCGATAATATACAAAGATATATATGTATCTTAATGACGAAGTTAATCGTAAGTAACTGATACATTTTAAACAGATTATATCTAAAAGCAGAAATTATATTATCTTTGTTTAAATAAGATTTATACATTTTTTTTAAAAGTCGTTGTTATAAATAGAGTATTGTTATAAGAAATATTTTTATGTTTTTTTTAGCAATTCTGTGAAATATTTATCTTTTGCTTACTTAATTTATTGATCATTATAAAAATTAATTAATAATTAATTAATAATAGAAATTATATTGCAAAATGGGATTGCAATTTATTCATTATTATATAGATATTGAAAATATAGTATTGAGAGCCGGGCTTTAAACGAGCGATGCGCTCCCGCCTCTAGAAAGGGCAGCTCCTGTGTGACGTGCGCGTTCTAAGCGCCACTCGTGCGTTGCGGTCATCGTCTGCGTTGCGGTCGTCTCGGTCGTGTGCATAAGA